CCCTTCCCTCCAGTGTATCAACCGAACCACATATCTTGGTGTTGTCAGCAGACTTGCTGAGAGTGCACTCAATCCCACTGTCCATGTCACCAACAAAGATGTTGAACAGCACAGGTCCCAACACCGATCCCTGAGGGACACCACTCATTACTGGTCTCCATGTGGACGTTGAGCTGTTTACTGCAACTCTTTGCGTGTGGCCATCCAGCCAGTTCTTTATCCACTGGGTGGTCCATCCATCAAATTGATGTCTCTCCAATTTGGAGACAAGGATGTTGTGTAGGACAGTGTCGAACGCTTTGCACAAGTCCAGGTGATGACGTCAACTGCTCTGCTGCTATCCATCAGTTCCGTAGCCCCATCATAGAAGACCACCAAATTGGTCAGGCAGGATTTCCCCTTTTGAAACCGTGCTGGCTGTCACCAGCCACCTTGTTTCTCATGTGCCTCAGCATGCTTTCCAGGAGAATCTGCTCCAAGAGTTTGCCAGGCACAGAGGTGAGACTGACTGGTCTGTAGTTGCCCAGTTCTTCCACCTTCTTCTTCTCGAAAATGGGGGTTATATTGCCCTTTCTTCCAGTCATCAGAAACTTCACCTGACTGCCCTGATTGAGGTTTGGGTTGTTTTTTTTGGTTTTGGTTTGTTTTCTTTTGGGGGGACAGGTGTCCAAAACTTATTTAATTAACAAAATAATTATGTTTTTTTCAATATTCCTCTGAGGTAGTTAATTTTTAAAACGTCAAATTCTTCTTTATGGTAATGAACTAGTTTTGTTGAAAACACGTTGTGACAAGGAATGTACACTCATCTCTACTCAGAAACACTTGAGTACGAGCCTTGCGTTTTAAAACACAATTTAAATTGCACTCATTGCTAGAGATGGAGATGGTGATATATCTTTAAGCTTTTTATTGCAGAAATTCCCTTGGAGGCTACTTGACCTCATGATAACCTCACCTGCCCAAGGAAGTCATTCTAGACCAGATTTATTATGTAACTCTTGTTGTCTGACATTTACGCACATAGCCAGTCTTGTTACTATTAGTAGTGCATTGAACTAGTATGCCTTGGAAATGAAGACAAACTTCTTGGGTATGATTTCTGAAGAAGGCTCTGCTTGTCTCTGAGGATTGTTTTTCCTAGCTTCTTTTGTAGTACTCAATTTTTCTATGATTTTACTTTTTTTGTTTTTTTACATTGGAATTCATTTTTAGCTGTGCTAAAGTACTTCAATGGTGGATCACCTTTCTTTCTCTTTTATGTCTCTATCTTGATATATACATAGATTTAAGCATAGAATAAACATGGAACATGGAGGGTAAATGTGGTAGGAAAAGTAGATTTCAGAAACAGCAGGCTGCGATATTATTTGTATGTATACATTTACAAATTATGTGGGCAAAGAGAAAGGAAAACTCATCTGCTTTAGAAAGTATCCATCTCTTTCTCAGGACGCTGAAAGATTTTTCCTGTTCAGGAGAGCTATTGGCTATAGTGTAAAGTCTTCCATCCTGCTGGCAGATAATTTCACTCTGGAGAAAGTCCTACTGCATTCACATAAGCAAACTTAAACAAATTTTTTACTACAACATACTTTTTATGTTCTCTGTCTAATAATATTGTGGAAAAAAATAAAGCAAAACCCTGCCTCTGTGAGCCCAGACCTTTCATATAGACTTCTCAAATCCTTCCAAAGCAGGCAACAGGATATCCCAGAACATTAATTTTGCTCCCCATAGTGAACTTAATTTCTTCTCCAGATCAGGTTTACAATGACTTAGTCCCAAGTAAGTACAGAATAACAACACTGTCCCTTTCCCATTTCTCCTGTTGAAATCCTGGGTGACTGGTCTGCCTTGATCCTTCCACTGGGCCAAAATAAAAGCTCTTCCCTGAATGCAAACAATGGCACATGACAAATTAGGTGCACTGCCAACAAGTATTCTTTCATATACACAGAGAAGAAACGTCTGTCGTCTTCATGCCCAAATCCTCACTATTCTTCCCCCTGAGAGATGTAACCTGTTGTGCAGCCAGAGCTCACAGCCTCTACTTGATGCTGGCACAGAGAGGACATTGGCTAAACAGGTTTCCCTTGAAGTGCATTTCATAGAAGTGGTTCTTGCTGTCAAAGAAGTAGAAACTGGAAGGGATAAGTGAGCACAACCAAGAAATTTTGAAACTTTCACAAAATGGCTATGCTTCATCTAAAGTTTCTATGCCTTTAGAAAATAGGCTTTAAAGAAGCTAAGATTTTATTTTCCTTCTCTTAAATATTTAGTTTTTAAACTGGCTGCTAAAACAGTCTCAGACCCTGCCTTTATTTATATTCGATATAATACGTTGGTGGGTAGAATTTTAATTCTGTTGTATACATGGTCTGCTTGTGTATTTCATACTGTGTTTTTGAAATACAGCCTACTTTCATCCTAGAACAGAAATACTTTTTTTTCAGAAACAAGTGTATTATTCTCTTGTTTGAATTCTTATTATTGGTAATGTCTTTTTTTCCCAGTGACCAGGTATTTGAAATTGGAGTACTGGATATTTTTGGATTTGAAGAATTTCAAAAGAATACTTTTGAACAGGTACGTGTTATATTTTGCAGAATTTACTGTAATTGTTAATGTTAATTCTTCTATTAAGGTTTTGGGGTTTAGCCAAAACAAGTGTTTTGATCAGAATATAAACATACAAGGAGACAAAAATTTGCTTTAAAAATATTTTTCCCCATTCTGTTTATATGGAGGTGTATTAAAACCCAGGCTCTGTACAGGCACGTATCATTTTTCAAAGAATCTAGTAACCATCTATCATAATGGTTTGGAAGAGGGGTAGTATCAGCACTGAAAGATTATCAGAGGAAAATACTTGGTGTTGTCTGTTTTCATGCTTGTGGAAGTGATACTTCAACTAGGTCAGTGAGTAGGAGGACAATACAGTGGACTGGAAGAAAGAACAAAAGATTTTTCAGATGCCTTGGAGAAAAAAATGAATGAAAATGCTACATTATGCTAAGTTCCATTACTGGCAGATTCACCTCTGTGTGACTTTTCAACATATGACTTTAAAAAATTGAATTACATCCATGGAAAATGAATTAAACTTTAGTTCACTGAATACTTAAAAATACATTTAAATGTAAAACATTTTTTGAAAATTATGGAACTGTTTGCCCACCTTCAACATTAGTCTCTGAACACCAAAGCTCTTGGGAATTACATATTTCAGAAAGCATTAGTAACTCTATACAGCAGGCTGAAAGAGATGTCTTAAGTTATTGTTCAGTTTTCATTCATTCTGTAATGCAGCAGAAGAAAAATCAAAGCATAGAACAGAATAGGAAATCAAAGCATAGAAAAGAATAGAGGTGGCATCGGCAACAACAAAGGACCTGTTATTGTTTGAAATCAGAACTTGCCCCTTCATCCCAGACAATGCATTATTTTATGGCTCAACTTTCTAGTGAAATAAAAGTCATAGAGACACATTACTTCAGTTTGTGTAGCATGTTTACATCACTACCCAATTTCCGAATGTTTGAAAGTGCAAACAGGGCAAGCTTACCTCTACCTTCAAAAAAGCATGTAAGAATGCAATGAAACATATTCCAGCTCTCCTCTCACAGAACCCTTTTTGCTCTTACTGTTCTGCCTTGCTTAAACAGGTACCTTGCTGGATTAAGGAGTATTGATGTGTGCTAATATCCACAGTTATTTACTCAGTGTGAACATCTGCTTTTGGGGAGAATATAAAGAGAAAAATAAAAAACATTTTAGCAGACTGAATATAGGAAAAAAATCCATAAACCCTACTGATTAATAAGGAAAAAGTATTCTATGCCTTTTAAATGCATCTCAAAAGAGAAGGGTGCGTCTTGGGATCTACTCGTTATTTTCCCTTGACTCTGTTCTGCATTGGTTTTTGTCACAAAACTCATGTAAATTCTGCAACTGACATCATGAAATACCAAGAATTCCAGTTTCTGGGGTAACTAATTTTCTGCATAGTGACTGCATAGGATGCTGGAAGAGAAAACATGAGACTGAATTAAATAAAAAAAAAGTAAAAAGTAATTTATTTTATGATTTTTGCATAGCAAACATGATAATTTCAAAGTCAGCTTGGCATTTTTATTTTATTTTTTCTAAATGAAAATTTTTCAAGAGATACTTACTGGCCTTTCACTTGGACTGAATGCATTTTGTTGAGTAATATTGAGTAATACTCCAAGTCACTACTTCATAAACATCTGAACTGCATTTCTGAAAAGATAGAATAGAGGTGAAGGAATTACCAAGTTCATTTTTGTATGAACTCTATAATTTCACTCCTGAAGTGATAGATTGCAGTATTGATGAACAGCAGCAGTTTGTATCCATATGGCACAATGTAAACATGCAGACAAACCCAAACCAGCCTGTACCTAAAAGCTTGAGCTGTCTAGCAGTTTAGCCTAGTTCAGTACTCTGCCTGGGCTCGTTAACACTGATGATAAATAAGCTTGTTAGCCCAGATAGGATCCTCATGCAAAACATTGCATCATGTCTGCAAACATGCCCAGTGTCAAGGCCTGTGACTGCAGAACATTAACCTTAAAGGTTACAGTTAAACAGTTGAGAAGCCATAAAAATTACTTTTTCATCACATTTAGATTAATGAATTTACAAATGGCATTACAAAAGTAATTTGGGGAAAATGAACCTTTTGTTTCAGATCAGTGTAAGACAAGGGATTCTTTGTGATACCTGACTGCTTTCTTGGAAAAAAGAAATACAGCTGTTTTCAAAAAAGATTAAAACCTCTTGATTGCCCAAATCTGAGGTCATTCTAAGCAGCTGCATGATTCTTTCAGGTGCTTCAAATCAGGTCAGTTCATAGTTTCATATCATCATTAAGAGAACAAAGTGCTACAAATTGCATGTCAATTTAAGCAATTTATTTTAATAGACTGTGTCTGAAGATGATTCAGGAGGAGAGATCTGGATAAACCAGGTAGAATATCCTGTGCAATCTAGTGAGTGTGTTGGAGTGACAAAGCATTGGAGTACTGAAATGTCAAAGGCAAATGAGAAGTGGTCTAGGAATGGTTCATGAGCAATGCATAGGACAATAGATGTCAAAGAACTAGATAAGTAAGGTTAATTACGTCTACACTACAAATCTAGTAACTTCTGCAGGCAAAATGATGTGACTGACAGCTTGCAAGGAGAAAAGTTTTATAGATGATTACAAAGAAGGCATTAAAAGTTAAAACCAGTATTAAGTGCTCAGTTTTCCTTGTACTTGGTGAGTGTTGGTAAGCCTTCATTTTATAGAACATGTGTGATATGTTATAGTAACAAAAATAGGACATGTAATTGTAAAATAACAGTAAGTAAGTGTATGGAATAAGCAAGCAGAGTTATGATTGGTATGAAATGTGGTATGAAATTGATATGAAAATTGGTATGAAATTCAGGTATGAAATGTAAAGTTGAAATAGAGGGGGCAGTGTTTTGGAAGTCAAAGTCTGAGGGAGTCATTGGTTAATACAGACTAAAAGCTTCTGATTTACCAGGAATAAGTGAGTTACTGCTCATCAGCTGAGCTATGTTAAATGACTGCAGTACACTTTTAGTTCACCTCAATTACAATTTACAGCACTTCCTAACAGTGATCATTAGCTTGGGAATAGCATTTTCGTAGAGCAGCTGCTTACCTGCTGTGCCAGAACAGCTTTGCATACAGCCACACTGGAACATAGTCAGAAGTAAGCACAGATTTGACTATCCTATTCTCTACAGAAATGGCCTTCATTTTGTTACCATTTCAGGGAACGTGAGTGCGCTGCCAAAAATAGCAATGGCCGCTTTAAATGTTAGTTTTCAATGTTTTCTTGTTTCCTTGTTTGAGAGGGACTGTATTTCCTTGTTTGAGAGGGACTATATTTTTCACAGTTTAATCTGCACTCCCTTAAAAGTAGAAAATGCCTGCTTCTCTTCTAGTAGAGTTTAAAACTAGGTTAGATCTTATTCATGGTTCCTTCACAGCACATCCTAAATAGCGCAGTCAAGGAATGCTGCTATCTTCATTATACCTTTATGCTTTGTATTCTGTTCACAAGAGCATGCAATGCAAATGGAAAGACCTCATAGCCAAGGAATATAACAGTGATAAGCAAGAGGGGAGGTTAACAGAATGTCCTGTACCATTTTCCTCTAATTGTTTCTAAGAAAACTGTATTACAGCATAAGAACCAGAGTTTAGAATAGCAAGAGTAGCTTTTCTTCCCCCTGCTGAAAGTCAGGTCTTTCTACAGAAATGAAGGCCTGTAGTTGTGAAAGCATTATAAAGAGCAATAATGCGGTTGAATAAAATAGAATATAGTAGTCTTTCCTCTCTGATGAGAGTAAGTAGTAAACTGAAAAAATATTTAGCTCTTGCTAAACACATTGTTTAGCTCTTGTTTGGTATTTTGCCGCTGTAGACCTCTTAAGTTTTGCAGAAGAAAGTATGTATATATAAAAATATATATATGTTTCTCCTCCTTTTTATAGGAAATATAAGTGATTTGTCTGAATTAGGACCACAGGTCACTGGAACAGTCAAGTGTCTCTTGACTCCTATTCAACTGTATACTTACTAAAACATGTGCACATTATCAGTGTGATGAAGTTGAGCACTATGAGAGGCATGTCTCCCATGGCAGCTCTGTAAAGTACATCACCTGTGATAGGAGCTACCTAGCTCCAAGAACACAGAGTATTGCCTGTGCTGCTCAGGACTTCAAAGTCAGTGTGGTGAGGGGGAGATGCTCGTACAACCCATCTGTGTTCACAGGAATTTTCACCAACATTTGTTATTAGGTGTGGTAGGTTTTCACATCTCAACATGTTATTTGTTTACTTGACCCTGCTGAAACCTCATTTAATTTTGTCATGTCATCTTTCCTACCCAAAACAGACATAACAGATTAATTCTTATTAAATTGCATTGCCTAAGCCATTAGACGACTTCAAGCTATCCAAATGTAAGTTTATGTTGCCTATTTTGTAGATGGATGGATATGAATAGATAAAAGTTTCATGACTTAACTTGTCTGTAGTCATTTTAGTCTTGATAGCAGACAGGAGGTTATGCACTCAAATTTTTGCATTCAGACAGTCTGAAGGAGCATTCCAATATTTTATTTTATGCAGAAGAAATCAGACTTCTTTGGTTTTGCTTGTCCAGAGCATAGACAGCTTGTCCTACTTTTCTCTGTACTACCCTGTGGAATAGGTGGCGTCTGGTGCACACCAAGCTCTGATACTATGCAGGGACTTGAATGCAGAACCTCCCACTGCAGTTCCCAGTGCTGGAGCATTCCTTATTACCCGTAGAATGAGGAACAATGCTTTACTATCTTAATTCAGCTTTTAAAAAGGAAAAATAATGTGATATTTTTAAGTCAAGAGTTTTCCTAGCCTCCATGCACAGGAAGGTTTTAATATCCTTGTTGTGGAGCAGGAAAAGCCAGCTAATCCTTGGCATCAGGGAGCCAGCCACCAGGAGGACCCCAAGGCTGGCCATTCCCTCCCTGATGGGCACTATCCTACTGGGTCTGAGCACAGTGGGCAGAGCCAGGGCTGGTAACAGCACCCTTCGTAGCCCTGACACAGCAAGAAGCAAGCTGGGGCTGCAGTCCTGTCAGGAGCAGTTGGTGACAGGCTGGAAACTGGCATGGCCATGGCGTTGCCTGGAACTGGACCCTTGGGTATGGTATGGGTCCCAGGAAAAGCTAAGTAGGGCTGTAAAAACCTATTCCTCTCCTCAGGAGCCTGATAATACTGTGTTTTCAGTTGTTCCTCAACCCAGTTCCCGTGGATCTTATGCTCTGCATAGCTTGTGTCATGGTTTTTACCTCTTTTCCCTCTCAGTCTTTTTGGTCTTTTCAGTCTTCATACGCTTTTTTTTGTGCAGGATGCTGTCATCTGTCCAGTGCTCCGGTCAGCCATTGGAAAACCAGTTACTCAGTTTTAAAGTTAGTTTATTATGTACCTGACATCAAAGTGTTTAATTTTTCTTTATTCTTTTATGGCAGACGTTTTGTGGCCAAAAATAAAATAATTTATCTAAACTTGAGATTCCTGTATGGATTCAGTTTGTGATTGATTGGTTTAATGCTTCACAAGGACATTTATTAAGTGATATCGTACTTTTCCACAGCAGCACCCTTTTTCATCCTACAGTACTTAGTTGCCAGCCAGCAGTATGAGTGGAAAAAATCATTTGGAACTATTTCAGTATATTTAATTCCAAACTCTTTCAAGAAAAGACTGTTGTTACCATATTTGTTTGTTTGTTTGTTTAATACTTTTATATGTACAAAATCGGGTGGTGAACTATTCCACTTTGTTTGAAATTGTGTCCTTTTTAGAGGGTTTTTTCAGACCCTTTTTTATGGAAGGCTTTTCAAGTGACAGATACCCATAATAAAATTTTAATATACCACTGGGATCTGTTTTACTTTATTTGAGGAACACAGATCAGCTAATGAGAACTGACCCCAGAGATGACATGAATTCCCAGTGAAATAAAGTTCTTCTGACAGAGAGGTAGAAGGACTATTTTTTAATTTGTGATGGAGCTGCATGGGAAAGAAGAAATCTGTATTAGATCCTATTGCCCATCAAAGGCAAAGGAAGGAATATAACAGGTTCTGGTTTTGTTATAAGTTTATTAAAAATATTCTGATTGGATGTGGAAGTGCTTGGGTAGCAGATACAAGGGGGAACAGTACTTCTGAAGATAATTCTGAAAAACAAGCGATTATCAACGTTAGGTTTAAAAGTATTTTCTGAGTCCAGTGTCAGTAAGCAGAAGATGGTTCTTCCTTCCATTATCTTAGAATTACATTTCTGAGAAATGCTAAAGCACATCCTTGCAAATTAAACTTGACATTGTAGCTTCATCATCTCAGCCCATAACACAACCTGATAGATGTGTTGATATGACAGCTGTAAGTTCTACTCCATGCTCTGAATACACATCCCTTGAGAATACTAATCCTATTGCATGACCAGAGGATGTAAATGAGCTTTTGAAAGGATGTTGGTGTCCATCATTCCCTCACTGATTGACAGTCATCAAGTTTTCTTTTCACAAATTCCCTTTTTGCCTTTTCACGTAGTTATTTATAAAAAGTGAAGAGCAGGAAAAATTCATTAGTCATAGATGCTTTTCTGTCTTTGGAGTTCAGTACAATTTTGGTCTTTTACCTAAATTTAACTTTGGTGTATACTTAATAGTACTATCTGGTCAAATGTAGTAAAAGAAAGATCAAGCTAACACAGTCTAATGTGATGCATACTTATTGCTTTTACCAAATGCCACTATATTATTTTCCAAATTCTGCAATTCGGATGACACTGCAAGTTGATTGTTTAAATACTTGAACGAGTTTTTTTTTTTTTCTTCTAATAGTATTCTAGAAGTACCTTTTAATGAAGACTTGGATGAGTTGATGGTGTATTTGTTTTCACTGAGAAATGATATTGAGTTAGAATTGGAAAGACAGATAGAAAGTAGGATTTCTTACAGAAGAGACATACAATGGAGCCAGTAGGAGGCATGCAAAGAACAGTTTAAGAATGTTTAATGACAAAAAGTACCACAGATTATATTGAGTGATGCTGCAAGATAAAGGAAATATAAAGTGCTTTATTGATATCACCATATTTGCTTTAGTTAAAAATTTCATTGTGTTTTCTTTTATTGCTTAAATTATATTTCAATCTAATTTTCATAGGTGTAACTAAATACATGTTTTAAAAATGTAGTTTTCTGAACTTTTCATACCTTTGGACAGAAAATATGTCAGTGCTTTTTATAATACTTCATAAGACATGGAGCAAAAGCAGTTGGGTTAGCAAAGCTAGTTTAGTTCATTTTCATATGATTTCTACATTTCAGCTCTTTTAATTATAATGTCAACCTGTGTCAAGCTTTTAATTTGAAGTGTTCATTTTATTACTTTTTCCCAGCAGGTTGTAAAAAACATTGAAATGGAGAAAGATATGATCAGAATGTCTTGCTTTTCATCAGTCCCTGGCTGGTCTCCTCGTTCTCATTCTGCAGAGCTGTTACTTACAGCCACTGCCAGAGAGGGCAGCTTTGGAGCAGCTTGCAGTTTGTAGGTCTAGTTTGCAGAACCTTACTGCCATTACGGCAAGTCTGCCAATCCAAATGACATATTGACATATTTATATTACTTAAAAGCACACCAGTGTATGCCATAATATACTGATCAGTGGAATTTATAAATGTGTTTTTTGATTTACCAGCCCAGCATATGTTATGTATGTATATTTTAACAAAATACTATGCCTTTTACTTTTGGCAGTTAAAACCAATGCTATTTATCAGATCTTGTAAAGATATGACTAAAACAGTCTTTCCCTTTGGCTCAAATTGTATAGTTTAATAATTTTGCTCTCCAGTCAGGTCCTTGGTACAGGTACATTTATTGGTTTTGTATATTTTAGGAGATTGGCACATGATAAAACGTAAGCTTAAGTTTATAGTGATTTTGCCAACTTTTGTTATAGTAAAATATACCTGCATAAGGCTATATGACATGGTTCGCTAAATAACTCATTTCCAAAGATATGCAGAACATGCATCATTTTAAGGCTTACATATCCTGTGAAGTTTAAGCTTGTAATGTTATGTCTGCTTTCTAAAATAATACTAAGAAGTTGCTGAAAAGATTTTGTAATTAGAATTTGAGAAGCAATCACTAAAACATATTTTGCCTACCTTGAAGTTAAAAAAACTGTCTTTTTCCATAAAATAAGTAAATGGCATAAGTCAATTGTACACTTTCATTGTTAATAAAATAACAATCTTCAGAAATCCCAATTTTAAAAAATAGTGGTTTTGTTTGAGGCTGTCTTTTGTCTGCACTACCATGCATTGGTAAAGACAGTTAATAACAGACCTTTGGTTGTAAAATGAGGTTTTGTTTTATTTCTTCTTACAATTATTCACACTAGTCTATTTCATTGTATAGCAAGTGCAGGTTGACTATACTAGTATGAGGCGTTAATGGAAAATTCAGGCAACTATTACACATTACTTGGGTTCCTTTCTGTCATCGGGATTTTAAGCGGTGTAATTTTAGGATAGATCCAAATATTTCGTATTTTTGAATATGACTTGCTTGTGGAATTGCTTTTACACACTTTATTCATGTAAGATACAGTTTATGGCCAAAACAAATATGTGACTAGTTTAGTCTGAAAAGAGACTGCATGGACGCATTCCTTGCATCCTTCCTTATATTAAGTGTTCTTCCACCCTTTTAGGAGTTTCTGTTTTCTTCATTTCTTAGTAATAGAGGAGACTTCAGAATTTTCCACTAAAATTTCCACTTCAATATGAATCATAGAATCGTAGAAAGGTTTGGGTTGGAAGGGACCTTAAGGATCATCTAGTTCCAACCCCCCTGCCATGGGCAGGGACATCTTCCACTAGACCAGGATGCTCAGAGCCCCACCGAACCTGGCTTTGAACAATTCCAGGAATGGGGCATCCACAACTTCTCTGGGTAACCTGTGCCTTCCAGTACCTCACCAACCTCACAGTTTCCCTAGTGTCTTGCTAATCTATAGTCTACTGAGAGGTAACATATAATGGATTGACATTTAATCAAATTCAGTATTAGACATGCAGTAAAGCCTTCACTGATGACATTATCCAGTGAACTTCTAATACTTTTCTTTTTCTTCATTTTACAATAGCTGTGTGTCAACATGACCAATGAGAAGATACACCAGTACATCAATGAAGTGCTTTTCCTACAAGAGCAAGCAGAATGCATACAAGAGGGAGTTGCCATGGAAACGGTGTATTCTCCTAGTAACCATACTGCAGCCTTGGATTTTTTCTTTCAGGTAGTTTTCAGATTAATTTTATACCATGTATATTTATACGCAGTCTCTGTATACCACAGTAATGCAAAGTTTTGCTTGTGTTTTCTGATTTATGAATCTGTAGAGAAGGTTATGGGTCCAAAGAGACTGTAGAGGTGTCTGTTGTAACAGTCCTTGTAGCTTCAGGGCTAATAGAGCTTTCTAACAGTCCAGGCTTGAAGAAAATGTAACAGAAACTCCTTGCCTGTACTGATTCTATGATTCATGCATAGCATCTGTGTATCATGCCATGTCGTTAATGCAGTTGTAGGACTGTTGTAAGCCTGAGAGTTTCTTTGTGCCTGAATCTAGTTTCTGGAGTATAACATGTAAGAAGGAAGTAGCCCAATCAGTTTCCTAGAATATCAGCAATAGTTACCATTTTTGGTAATTATTCCCTACGTTTCTTACGGAATCATCTAATGTGCATAGCCTTGGAGACTTACCAGAATATCTTAACCACTTTTCCTTTCCTTTGAGGTGATACATGTTTCTGTTTAATAAATCACAAGCTGTTACTCCACAAGAAACAACTGAAATTCTATTTCTTCTGTATAAAAAGAGAAAAAAAATCACTTTTTAATTTCAGAAACCATCAGGATTTTTGTCAATGCTGGATGAAGAAAGCCAATCTATTTGGTCAGTGGAACAGAGTCTTTCTAAACGCATTCAGTCTTATCTGGATGCATCTGACACGAATACAGTCTATTCCTCCACAAAAGATGGAAACGGTAATCTTGCCCCAAAGGATCAGGGCTCCACCTTCACTGTTATGCATTATGCTGGGAGGGTAAGTTGTTTGAATTATTGGTTACACAATTAATGAAAAAGAGTAAACAAAACAAAATTCTCCATGGCTTCTCTGACTCCCTGCTATAAATAGCAATTCACTTTATAATGATGAATTTGCAGAAGACAACTTAGAATCTAAATGCAATATCTAATGCATAAAATACATAGTTTGTATCATATTGTACAGGATTCAGGCTACCTAATTCTGTCTTCTGTGTTGTATATTCATTTTAAGCACTTCATGCAGAAAAAGGTGATTCAGATACCTCAGCATAAATGTTTAATGCCATTTTAGTTGGCTGTTGCTTTGCTTTCAGATGTTGTTCCAGAATGGTACAGGTTCCCTGTAGATCCTGTGCCATATATGTAGATACCTGGGATACCAGCATGCATCTGACTGATTGATTGATAAAAAAACCCACACGTTTTTGTTGTTAGTAGTCATAATCAAAATACATTTTTTCCTTTTTTCCTTCAAAATTACCAAACATGCTAAGTGTTTCTAAATACGTCTGTAAAATGGGATGAAAGTTTTTCATTTCCCTTCCTTCAGTGTTCACTGCAAAAACGTAATCAATTCTGTTAAATGGGTCTCTTACCCTTTTCTTTCCAATACTCTCTCATTTCCACATTGACTCCACAACCTCTCACAACCCAAAGCAAGCAAAATAGGTATGTGTTTAAGGGGAAAATACATATTTTATTTTATTTTTTTTAGATAATCTAAACAGATTGGTCCCTCTGTGATTAATCTGCCATGCTGCCACTTCTTTCTGCTTAAAGCATGGTGTTTGAAATGAGGTAATGAATGTAGATTGTACAGGCACAATACAATGGGGTCTCTCAGTTGCCAGTTTCCCAAATTTCCACTGAAATCAGGTGAGAACATAGAGTGAAGGCTGCAGGAATCAGTCTTTACATCTGAACAACTTGTTCTGTGTCCATTCATACTTTCTAAGTCTTATGCAGATGATCCCATGAGCTATCCATCCACAGATGGAGTTCCATAAAAACTTTGTCTGTAGCACATTTAGAAATTGTTTAGCTGCTGTGCCTTAGAACCACCTAATCATGATCATATGCACTATGTTGTTTATAAAAACCTGAGATCTCAGTAAAGCTTGCTATTAGGCAGAACCTGGCTTCCTCAGGATTTAGTGGTAGCACATGATATGTAACTAATCACTTCAGAATCCTCTGTGGAGGACATGTGGAAAATGCTGGTGCTTCAGTATAACCAGACAACTGACAGCTGAATGCTCCTCTCTACCTAAGCAACAGGCAGAAGAGATAAGTTCCATGAGCAAGAAATTGTGCAGCTATGATAAAGTATTTTGATTAGAATGCATATTACTATTCTAAAACAAATGTAATAACTTTGCCACTGCTTATTGTAGGAGATAATTAGAGCAACCTTCCCTCACATAATTTTGTGAGTAGCAAATGCATGGAGTTTATCTGGTGTGCTGCTAAAAAAATCAGTTTAGATTCAGAAAGGAGTTTTATGTGCTTCCTAGGGTAATAACACCAGAAAAGTAACCCTAATCCATGCTGCTAAAGGTATTAGATGACATACTTTCTCCTATGCCGAATATTTTAGGTGCAACAGATTTATGCCGTTGAACACGCAGTCAGTTGACTATTGGTTCAAGACTTGTCTCCAAGTCACCAAAAAAAGACTTGCTGGGTCTGCAATATCTCAAGGTAACATCATATGCGCTGAGCTCTCCAGAACAGTGAGAGGTTGGAATGCGCACTCTTAGGCTTCTTTAACCAGATTAGTGTCCTTTACAGCAATATAAATGGGGAAAGATCTATTTTGTGTCTCCTCATTTGGAAATTAAGTCGATGGAAGTGTTGAGTAGTGTTCTGACGCAGGCAAATTTGTTCCTGCCCAACGACAGAAGTGTGATCATTATGGAAAGGATTAAGACTATTTGGGTAGTGCTTAAATTCCTAACCTAAATACCCTGAATAACTCCATGGAGGCCCTTCTTTCATCATAAAGCCTCCTCTTAGATTCAGATTATTTGCCAGAGTTAAGTGGTTCGAATACTTCCACTACGGAGACTTTTCAGTCGGAATGCAGGCACAAAATGGGTACATAATCATACAACAAAAATTTTGTGAAACTTAGCACTTAAAGAAATAGAGCCAGGAACTGACTGTGGACTCTCGTCCACATGTCCTTGTGGACTGATGTTTAATTCCATTTATAAATCTGTTTTACACTTAGGTAAATAAGTTTTCATATTTTATTCTGTTCTGTTGTGATTATACAAATTTATAACAATAGCTCTAAAAGGTTCCACACACCAAAAAAGTAGCAAGGCAACTACTTCCATGTCAATTTTCCAAATCACAACAGAAGAATAAGCACATTTCCTCAAAATGAAAAAAAAAAAAAAAAAGTGTTCGCTGAAGAAGCACTCAGTAGGAATTGTTAAGATCACAGTTTCAGGTGCCTAGTACTGAAGTTAAACTGTGAATAGTAAGGAGTACAATTTTCATTAACGTGTTTTAGCCTTGCGTGGTTGCTTAAAATATTTTTTTTATAACATAGACACTTGGTTTGACCTTTTCCTAATAATAGTAATGACATTTAATCTAAAAGTATGAACAAATAGACAGCTCTCCAAGTAATGTAAATTCACACATTCTTTTGAAGTCAGGGGAGATTGTTTGATTTACGTTGGCCAAGGAACTATTCCAGACAGTCAGGTTGTTCTTTGCATCCTTACAACAGTAAAATGCTCGACCCTGCCAAAACAGAAAAGTTCCTATGCAAGTACTTTTTCGTTACTTTAACAGTGATTGAGCAAAATCCTTATAGGAACTTGCATTCTTGCATTTTTGATAGCTCATGGAACTGTTGTCTAGAATCAGATTGAAATTTCCAGTGATTTATGATACGTATTTACATAAAATCTGATTATAGCATTAATGTACTAAATAATGACACAAACTGAGTTTATTCTGAGACTAGTATGTCTTCATAAATTGATAAGTTGAATATGAAACTCTAGGATTTTAAAACTGCTGATGACATTCTTTAGATTGTGCTGTTACTACAGTTAGTAGCTTTTTATAAAAGTCATTCATGCTTTATGAAAATTGTTAAAGGATCAAGCTCTAAAATATATCAGGTTTTATTGGCACTCCAAAATAAGAATTTCATAGATAAAGTGACAATATAGTTTGGCAGGTTTTGAGAGCCATTTTTGTAGACTGATATCAATTAAACCAGTATAAAGTAAGTGAAGTATAAAGCAATCTTTCTCTGTGTCATCACCTTCAGATATCACCAGATATAAAACAAGGGGGCTTGATTTTATTGTCACCATGATTTTTCACTGATTTTCTGGCAGAAGCAATATGTTAAGAAAATCTATATGTTATCAGTCTGAGAGATCTATGATTTTTTTCTTACTTTCTTTACTGTTTTGGAATGAAGAAAGTCAAATAAGAGAAGAAAACATATGCTCAAGTCATCTTCTGCACATAGAAGAAATCAGTGGAAATCAGTAAGCTTTTCAGTGGAAGTTGAGAGAGAATACTGCATTACACAAATGTGACTGAATGATCCTGTGGAAGAAAGAAAAAGACTTCATTTCTCTTGAATTTTACTATTATGCCTGTACAGCACTAAAGCTGTCTTTTTCTGCATGAGCAATATGATATACTGCTTATGAACATACATGAATGCATTTAGCAAAGGCCACTGTGAACATTAGTATTTTATCATACCAAGTATTTTATTTTATCTCCCAGTTTTAATTTTGTAGCTGAACAGAACCCTACAATGCTTTGACACATTATGAGTCTGTTCTAAGAGCTATTTAATGCCTTGGTATCTGAGTGCTGTAAGACAAAAAGCTTATCTGTTCTGTTCAGGCAGAAGAATGATTTAGGTTTTGTGTACTTAAAAAAAAAAAAAAGGAAAAATTCTAGTGGAGGGCTTTATCTGAAGGTTGTTTAGCACATTTCCCTGAACACTGGCAGTCTGATCTGGAAAAATTCTGCTCATCTGGGGCATTGCTTTGTTTCTGATGCTTAACATGAATGTGGGTATTCTCAGCTGCTTCTCAGAGACTGCCTGCCTGGCAGCACCATGCGAGGAGAGGCATGCCAGTTCCACACTGTAGGCTTGCCTTGGGGAAGCGAAGTGGTTTATGGGTGCAGCTGATCAATGCATCCGACCATCAGCTAAAACTACACTAAGAATGTGTAATACTGAATTTCTAGCTACTTTTATTGATAAAATTGGCATTTGCATTGTGGGCTCTCACATAATGACGGGCTTCACTTGAATTATATTTCTGAACTGTGATAGTCATGATTTTTGAAGAATTACATTTCATCACCATTCTTGAGGACTCAAAGTTCTTTTTTAATTTTATGGAAGAATTAACATATCACTAAGTAAATCAGAAATATATTGTCTTAGCATAATGCCAAGAGATACAGCTTTACCTAATAGTGATATTTAACATACCAGTATTCAAGATAATGAGCTATTTGCCCCATTGTTCATGTAGTCTGAATAATAGGTTGTCATAATTTAAGCTTCCTGCAGTTTAAATTTATACTTGGATTTACAAATCAGATAAGCCCCTTGTCACTGTTTGCCTTGCCACTGTTTTGACTTACAGTACTGTGATAAACCAATCAGACCTAAAGACCAACTTCTTTGCTCTATAAACCAGTGCACATAATGTCCTTTAAGTGCAGATCAATGTCTGTTCCATTTCTCAGCTATGTGCATTTCAAAAATACCTCTCAGCTGTCAGCTCACCTTCACAAAGGCAGTCTTCTTCGAAATGCCTTATATATCCCAGGCAGACTCTGAAACTGAACCTCTAAATCAAAAGACAAAAGGAGATGGATTAATCAATAAGGATGCTTTCATTTTCTCTATTTTTTCCCCAGGCTGAATCCCCAAACATAACAATCAAATCAGTCTAGTCTAAGCTATACCAAGGCATAGGTTACTTGACAAAGATTTTCTTTTTCATGCAGACAAGATGATAGTTGTCCATTATCTCCCTTTTTCTCTCTCTTTCTTTATGTAGACTTGATTTTGGACTTTCACTTACAGTAGAAATTATTAGAACACTTCCCTCCACCCCCCTGTTTTGTTTCTAAGTATTTGCTGGTTTCAAAATGCTATTTCTATCGCAGTGTTAAAATAAGGCTTTACTGACAATATAACATTATTTGCTTCACTCATTGCTTAACAAGACTTGTTTTCGGAGGGTGACAGGCCCAGTCATCATACAACATTCAAACATTTAAATAACATCACTCAATTTTAAGTACTGGCAGAAAATCAACAACTACAAGTGACCCTCTGTGCAGTGAAATTGTCCTTGGATATGTTCTCAAAAATTTCTCTTTTAACTATATGAACTGATTAGTTTCTCGTTAACTAAATTTAACAACACATAAAACCCTATGAATTTCTGAGTTACATTTTGTTATTATAATAGTAAAATTTTCCCTTTTAACTTTGAATGCAGCCAAATTAACTGTAACATTCCAGGTGGCATTTTTTTCTGGCTTGTTTTATGGTTCCTGCTGGATCAGCCACTAAGCATGGGTGCTTTTGGCCTTTCACAGGATACAAAAACTATTAAAAAAGAAGAGAATTCGGATGAATTGATGAAAATTATGTGTAAAGGTGACCCTGTTGACCAAGTATATAGGGAAATCCAAGGAACTTAGATAAAGTCCCTTACCAAAGCCAAATGTTGTGAAAGGGGATATTTTAGTTTAGAAAAGAAGATGTACAATGAAGTAGCATGAGTATAATTAATGAAGCAAAGAGGCAAGAGTATGTAAGAAGATAAGAGGAATGTGCAGTTCCCGGATAGCTCTGTGCACATTTGAGGTGTGAGCCTCCTGTCTTCTGGGTGTTATTTTTTTACCTCTTATTTGTATCTGCTAGTTCTCATGATATTAAAACCAGCTATACCAACCTAAATGACCAGAAAAGAGGTTCAAACCAAATAAAATTAAGGTTTGGGTATTTTTGCTTGGTTTGTTTGGTTTTTTTATTTGCATAGCTAGTAACTAATGAAACTCCTTGCCACAAAGTGTTACAGATGCCAAAAATGTTAATGATTTCTGGAAACAGACACTCAAAGAGGAAATGTCAGTCAAGAGATATTAAACACAAAGATGAGATACAGCCTGCAGGTCAAGAACTGCCTCAGGGACAGAGCCCTGGCAGCTGAGAGGGGAACTGGTGGGAGGCAGAATGGAAGTATTCCTCAATATTTTTTCCCTAAATATCCAGGACTAGATGAACATTCGTCCTGCGCCACTATCACTGTGCTTAGGTTAAGGTTTCTTCCTTTCTGAACTTAAATCAAGAAGGAAAGCAAATCCAATCACTTTCTTGTTTTAATCTGTTTTAATGAAATAAAATGCAGTGTGGAACTGAACACTTTTCTTTTTGAATAAAAATATTTCAGATAGTCAGATAATACCAAAAATATCTTGCTTCCTTTGGTTAACAGACACATAGGTTTACATACTGTCTACCCCAAAGAGTTTATCGTATAAAGCAAGATAGAGCAAACAGCTGCAATAAATAGAAGTGAGAATAAGTAGTGTGTTTTATAATACTGGAACCATGATCTAAGTGAGTGCACATTTCCTGTCTGAATCATGTAATATTTATTTGGTTTTCTTCTGCTAGGAATAACTATCCACTGTGCTTGAGTGCCAATCAGTGCTGAATTTTGGCCAGGTGTACTTTAGAAAACCAGTGGAAGAAAACTGAGGGAAATATATGTGCTTTAGGCAAAGTGCTATGTAGGTTGGCATCTCTGATGAGGGCAGGATTAAATTAGCAAAATTGGCAGCTAAAAGAGGACTTATTTCTTTTTCTCTTTTGTGGGACTGGAAATGAATATGGAACCCTAGAGTGCCATTTTGTTGAGTCAGTTTTCATGTCTTTAGGCATTGAATTAATTTACCAAGTCTGTGGGAAAACTGTCAGAGAATTAGCTATTTCTTCATAAGAGGGAATCCTGCTAACTTTTATGTGTTTTATGTGATATGAGAGATGTCTTATGAATATAGTTCTAGAAGTTGGTGATGTATTATACCAGCACCAGTACTGGAACTTCCCCCTGTTTCAATTTAAGCACTTAATCATAATATAGTGTCTCCCACTGCAGTAGTTACCTATTCTTCCCACCAATACTAACTCTCTTCCTCTAATTTAGTCAAAGTCTAAGACACTCAATTAGGAACTGGCATTATGGATTTGTCAAATAAGTTCTGTTAATTATCTTTTATGGACCACCATGGTAGAACATTTACTTTAAATACACTAAAAGCATTTAATAGTAAACTTAAATTATTCTAATAGTTTGCTAACTGTGTTGTATGTTCTTAGGAGATGCAATTAGAAATTTATATAGCATTGCATCTGTCATAGAAAAGAACATAATTCTATTGTTATAGCTTTTCTATGTCAGATGTCATAGTAATTACATCATTTGACAATTACTAAGTGTAACAGATTATACACATCCAAGCCATATAATCACTTTCGTGAGTAAGATAGCATTACATAATTGTCAAATGACCCAATGGAAAACAAAATTAATGCACTGATTAGTATTACTAATCTTCATTACATATTTACAGCTTTATTAAATGCACAAGGATAAAATTTCCCCAGATACCTAAGGGTCTTAAGATGTAGATCCAGTAAAAAACTTTAAAAGGGCTTTAGATAGAAACATGGTCCCAAGGTAAATAAAACCAAACTGTATTCTAAGAAGTTCCCATTAAGCATCTGCCTAATCCTGGAGGTGCTACAATTATAATTTTCTTCCTTTTTAACTTAAAAGTTCCCTTTGGGTTCTACTATGGTGCACTCCAGAGCTGTTTATATCTAAAGCCTGTAAATTATCTAGTTGTTTGTCTTCCTTCCCCATAAAAAGTAAAAAAAAAAAAACGAACGAAAAAGCCTCAGGGTTTCTTAAGTTCTTCATTTTATATGTGCCCTCAGGAACTCTGGCTAGAGATTTGCATTTTGTCCACTTCTCAGAGTGCCCACCACATGTGTTAGAGTTTATCTGCATTCAGATGACAAATGGAGTGACAATCCAACTGTTATTTAAATTATGACATCAGGCAATTAGGGTGATCCAGAATCCCTTTGTGTGTAGTTGATAGAAAGGTAGATGGGATTTGTATATAACCTATTGACTGAACTTGCCTCCAGAATTTCTGTGGCTGGAACTTGGAGTTCCAGTGTGAAGTGGGACTCATATTGCTACATGAGTGTTTTGTCACGATCAGTGGACAGTTTCCCCCTGACAAGGAGATCTGGGATCAACTTGCTCATCCTACAGGAAAAGTGATGTTTAAGTCACTGTCTTCTGCTCTACACTACACTTTTTATTCAAAGTCTTTCATTGCAGAAATGTTTTAGAATCAGCCTGATGAAATTTCTGGATTCTTGCAGAGACACAGTATTCAGCAACCAGTGCTTCTGGTTAATACTGTTAGCACTAATAAAGAAACAAAAGACACTACCTGGTGCTAGCCTTTAACTGTTGCATTGGAAAAAATGTAGCTTCGTTTCTACTGCTGTAAGATTTTAAAAAGATGTATTGGTCGTTACTAATGATGTCACAATATTTTGTTATAGGTTACTTATGAAATTGCTGGTGCAATAGAAAAAAATAAAGATACCCTTTCACAAAATCTTATATTTGTAATGAAAAGTAAGTAAATGGTTTTGTGGTTGCTGTTGTTGTTACAAATCAAGATATTATGATTTGACTTTAATTTTGATTTTAGTTTTAAGGGAAATTTATGTCTATATTATTTCCAGTTAAAAAAACCCCAAACACCCTCATCTTTTTGGTGATCTTAATCTTTTTGCTCTGATTTAGAAAAACTTTAGAATTCATGAACATAAAGCATCTTCATCATGTGATATGATGTAAAAAGCAAGAAAGGTATAGTCTGACAGATGAGTATGACTTAAGAAATCATTTGTATGAATTAAAACAAAAATATAAGAAATAAGAATATAGGGAAAGTAAATTAGGCTCCCAAAATCATAGAGACTGCAGTGGGATGTGCTTCACTGCTTGATTACCTTTCTAAAAGCAGGAACCTGTGGGCGTTCTTATGTTTTTCAGTGAATAGATACAAATATCCATTGACATACAAAATTAAATACCTTCCCATGTGCATATTCTATAATTATGCATAATAATAATGCATCCCAGTTTGTTAATTAATGATTCATAATTAGATTATTAAAAACCTCTATCATTTACCCTTTCTGTGAAGAAAACAAAACAGTCCTCAGGGATATGTCAGTGCATCCGGAAATGTTATTTGTCTTTTCTCCAACCACTGCAGAGTCTTTCATTTAATATATTATATACTTACATTTTATTTGTCTTCCAAATCAGCCCTACTGTTACAATGTATTGGTTTTACTTTGAGGTTAGCTAAACTCCCTAGTAAAATAATTAATGCATTTTAAAGGCAAACAGTGTACATAAAGGATGAAGAAAAAAATGGAAGAACTTATCTTGGATATAATCTTACTGATTATAGTTTTAGAGACATTCCAGTTCTTGCTATTGGGAATTGCATGATAATCTGCCAAATAGTGTAAGAAAGTATGGCAACTTCAAGGATGTTCTACAGGAGAGAGCACTCTTCCATTCTCTCACATAGTCTCCTTTTGCGCATTCATTGCTATTTCCTGTAGTATCAGCTATGTAACTGCTAAAAGGGACTAATGGAGGATTGCATTGGAAATAAAATATTTGATATGCTGAGAGTTGAGTGTATACATAACGAAGAAGTCATAATAATAACAATTATAATTATTGGAAAAATTCTGAAGGCAGAATATTTACAAGCATATAGGTCATCTAAGGGCTACATTCCTTCTTTTTTAAGTGACTTAGGATTAAAACCTATTGATTGTCAGTGACATATTTCCTTTAAGGTCAGTTTCATAAGTTATGTAGATGTATAATTTAAGTGCATGCTTGCTTTGATTTTCATTGAATTTAGTATAATTGATCAAAACTTTTAAATATGCTAAAAAAAGTAGTTTGCATATATCTGTAAGAATGTGGAACGTACCTGTCTGACAAATAAATCAGGAGAGACAATAATATTAACATAGGTTTTATTTGTTTTAATTTGAAGGACATTATTTTAGTGCTTTTCCTAATGCCACTTATTACATTTATCCATATTTTTAAAGTATGGAGGTTTACTATGTCTGCTTATTGTGCTGTAATTGTTTCAAGTATTGCTTTACTTAATATAATGGTTTATTGGTTTGTCCACTTATTTAATTCTATCTCCTACTGTATGTCTTTTTACTTCCAAATATAATATATATTATTTTATAACTTGTATTTTATCTTCATGCATTAATTTCTTCTTTTTTTCCCAGCCAGTGAAAATGTAGTCATCAATCAGTTGTTCCAGTCCAAGCTGACACAAACCGGATCACTTGTTCCTCCATATCATTCCCTTAAAGTCAAAGGCTGTAAAACAGCTTTGCTAAAACCATCAGTAACGTCTGCAAGTGGAGAAGCAAAGAAATATATTGAGCTCAGCAAGGTAAGAAGATGGCGCTCTCTGCTCTTTGCTCCTTGAAGATTTTTCTCAGTTACTTTGACATTTCTGAAAGCTCCTTGTTCTCTGCTTCATTCTCTGTAGTCATTAAGCTATTAAAATAATACAGTACTAAAGCAATAGTGAGAACTAACAGGTTATAATTTACTAATAATGCTGGTTCAAGAACCTCTTTTTTCAGCTCTCTGAGCAGAAGGTTGGGCAAGACAGTGAGGTCCCTTCAATCCTGACTCATTCGAATCATGATTTTGTGGTTCCAGGGCTTAGCAGTGAATGCAATATTACTGATCTTTGGCTGAATAGCAACACTTCTTTGTTTTGTCTCCTTGGCTGACTTAATGATGAATAGTTAAGTAAATTAAGACATAGGAAGAGAAAAATAAATACTCAGTGTCTTTATTGTGTTAACCTGAGACGATTTCTGTGAAAGATATTTTGTGTCATTTTTTATGATCAACTCCACACATTTTTGCAAACATTGTTATTTTAAATAGTCACTTGCATGTACATTTTCCCAGTCAGTTTGAACTCAAATCAAACTCTCCCCATTTCTGAACTTGCTTCTTCTTCTTCTAAGTCACGCAAAAAATATCTTAAAAAAAAAAAGGGGGCGGGGGGAGGCTATCAGAAAATTAGTTGTCATATCGAACATCTCTCTTGAGGAGCAATAGCATAATTTGCTGAGTCTATTCTTGACAGAGCTTTGGAATTCCTTCTTCTTCTAGAAAAGAAGCAAGCAGTTCTCATAGTACATCAGCTGCCTCACCAGGCTTCTTGAATCTTACAACTCTATTTTTGGCTTACAGCTGCATAAAAATGATTCTGTCAAGGGATTAAGGAACCTGCTCTCATGTGTCATTGTGGAAGGCTTTATGCAAGTGCATCCATAGAATAGCAATGGGGCTTTCCTTATAGCCCCCCTGCTGATAGTAGCACAACTCCTGTCTACTGTTCTTGTCAGTAATCTCAGTGGAAAAACTTAAGTTGAAATGAATGATGTTGGTTTAAGGCTATATTTAGTGAACAGCTGAGGTGTCACAAGGTGCCTTTAGGTGACTTTCCACTATAGTAAGAGCTTCCTAGAGCAAGCTTCCTTAGGCTGTGAAAAAGATCCTAGCTCCATACATGGAAGGAAATACGAAAAGCACATCTAAGAAGCCTAATCAAGCTGGGGGAAACACCACACAGCTGGGATCTCTGAAACTATGAGATTTTTGATCACTTCAGAATAGCTTTTAACCTAGAGTTACTCTCTTGAGAGATAGAAGACATGTTCAAATTCCTTTGGGAAGAATGATAAATTAAGTCAGAAATTCCAGATTCAGTGAGAATGCTCTGAACTCCTAGGTATTAGATGGAAGGTGGGAAGAACTTCATCCTTCATCTGCCCGCAGAGACAAGGATGGCTTGGCTTCTCAAAGGCAGGCTATGAGGAGAGCTGTGCAGGTGAGACAGAACACTTAGTTTGTAGATGCTAAATTGGCCTGATCTGGCAAGGAACTGTGCTGCCCTGCAGGACTGAAGCAGAACTGTGGGTATCTAAGCTGTTTCTGTGGCAAAAAAGGAGACACTTTTATTTTGGATTAGACATCTGATGCCGGAGCTGGGAGTAGGTAAGTGCTTAAATTCTTTTGTGGATCAATCCCGCATCTGTAACTGTGCTGTCCCAAATAATTTCTTACATTTTCCGGTACAGCCTAAAAAATCCACTGTGATAGGCTAGAATAATGTTGGTTTTGTTGTTTTGTTGTTATTGTAGTTGGAAATGCAATGTAAGAGGCATTTTCTTATCAGCTTAGAATCAAAATGACTATATGTTGGAAAATCATAACCACTGCATTTTTGTAGGAGTTTATCCTGAGGGTATAGGCAATAAAGAAGAAGGAAAGGAAAAAAAAAAAAAAAAGGAAGGGGGAGGAGGAGAAAGAAAGACATTAAGACAAGAATTATCAACCAGAGACTGGCATTCCTTTTACATCTGAAATTTGAGTTGTAACATTCATAGGATCATACAATCAACTAGGTTGGAAAAGAACTTTAAGATCATCAAGTCTAACCATTACCCCAGGACTGATAAGACCACCACAAAACTGTGTCACCGAGGCCTCATCTGCACATTTTTTGAACACTTCAGGGATGGTGATTCCATCACTTCCCTGGGCAGCCTGTTCCAATGCCTGATCACCCTCTCTGTGAAGAAATTTTTGCTAATATCCCATATAAAACTCCTCTGGCACAACTTGAGGCCATTACCTCTTGTGCTATTGCTTACTTATTGTTACTTGGCAGAAGAGACTGACCCCCACCTCACTACAACCTCCTTTCAGGTAATTGTAGGTAAGGTTCCCTGTGAGCCTTCTCTTCTCCAGACTAAACAACCCCAGTTCCCTCAGCTGTTCCTCATAAGACTTGTGATCCCAATCCTTCACCAGCTTTGTTGCCCTTCCCTGGACCTGCTCCAGCACCTCAATGTCTCTCTTGTAGTGAGGGGCCCAGAACCGAACAGAGTATTGGAGGTGCAGCCTCACCAGTGCCAAGTACAGGGGGATGATCACTGCCCTGACCCTGGTGGCTACGCTATTGCTGATAGAGGCCAGGATGCTGTTGGCCTGGACACAAGCTGGCTCATGTTCAGGGGCTGTCAATCAGCACCCTCAGGTCCTTTTCCACCAAGCAGCTTTCCAGCCACTTTTCCCCAAGCCTGTAGCATTGCATGGGGTTGTTGTGTCCCAAAGGCAGGACCTGGCACTTTGCCTTCTTAAACCTTATACTATGGCCACAGACCGTTGATCCAGCCTGTCCAGATCCCTCTGCAGAGTCTTCCTATCCTTCAGCAGATCAACACTCCCAGCCAACTTGGTGTTGTCCACAAATTTACTGAGGGTGCACTCGATCCCCTCATCCAGATCATCAAGGAAGATATTAAACAACACTGGCCCTAACACTGAGCCTTCAGGGATACCATTAGTGCCCAGTCTCTAACTAGATGTGATACCATTTACTACCACTCTTTGGGCTCAGCCATCCAGCCAGTTTCCAACCCAGCGAACTATACACCTACCCAGGCCATGAGCAGCCAATGTCTCCAGGAGAACACTGTGGGAGACAGTGTCAAATGGTTTATTTAAGTCCAAATAGACAATGTCCACAGCCTTTCCCTCATTAACCAGGTGGGTCACCTTATTATAGAAGGAGATCAGGTTGGTCAAACAGGACCTGCCCTTCATCAACCCATGCTGACTGGGCCTGATCCCTCCGTTTTCCTGCACATGTTTTATGATCTTACTGAGGGTCATCTGCTCCATGACCTTCCCCCGCACTGAGGTCAGGCTGACAGGCCTGTAGTTTCCAGGGTCTTCCTTCCTGCTTTTTTTGTACCATAGGTAATGAGAAACACAATATGGAAGGTATTCATGGTGCTGTGTATGGGTAGCCATCTAGACCCATATCCAGGGAAGGGGGCACTTTCAGAGATGAGGTAGGAGTTTGTTGTGATTCTCCTCCCTTTCAGCTTGTCATCTGCAGTCTTATCTACTTCTACTTTGGAAGAATCAGTGGGTTTCATAGTTCATGCAGCAGAAGTCTGGTCACCTGAATGCATATAACAGAAGGCTTTTTTTTCCACTGACTTTATGTTGTTTCTCATTATGAATGCTTTGCTTCATTGTCTGTTAGTTGAAGAACCCACCTATTAGAAACTTCCTGTTATGTCTTCTGGTTAAATATTTAAAATATTCTGCTGGTAAAGAGAGATTTTTTAGGAGGAGGTTTTAGCTTCTTAACAGAGCTTACAAACTTACATGCATAATTTGTTTTATTTTTCTGTAGATTAGAAGTACAAGATTTTCCAATGTAAAGCTGTATATTGGAGGGTAATACAGAACTAACACTTCACTGATGTATTCTTGTTCCTTAGTCCATAGCTGAAGATGTCCAAGTTTGGAGAGTTTGAATTAAATTAATTTTTCTTTTCTTTGCCTTGTTTCCTGTCTCTTCTCTCCTTCATTCTGAACTAAACACTTCTTTCCTATGGGAAGAAGTATGCAAGAAAGGACACGAGCATCCAAAGCATTGTTCTAGCTCTTCCACTAATTCAGGAAATATTTTTGAACTAGTGACTTAATCTGTTGGGAGGAAGGAGTGAATTCATTATCCGTCAAGAGCAGAAAACTACTTTTTAGTTATATTCCTCAATAATTTAGTAAAATTTAACTGAGAAGTGCCATTGGCATGCTAGTGTTTTTTGGGGGTTTTTTATGAGAAGACCTGAAGCAAGCAGAACTCTTACTTTCCTGTTTTGAAATTGGGGATAAATTTGCCTTTAAAATCTTATTGCATCCTAGTAAGTAAGATTTGAAATGAAAAAGAGCTCCAAATTTTGGCATACTGAGTAAAGAACTGTTTACACTGCAATATTTTTAATAGAGTTTGGTTGACTGGGCCAAACTGAGGAAATTTACACTTTTTTGATGGAACTGGAAAAAGACCGGAGTAAGCTAGAACATGCTGACTTGATAGAAAGGGAGTTTTATGGGGTAAGTGGACTCAAGAAAGGCAATGGCAAGATCAGAGGTGAAAAAGCTGTCATTGATACAGAGGTTTGAATCTAAGTGCTTTCCTAAATCCTGTAATGCAGTCATTTTGCCAGCCTTCCTGTAAAAAGTTTAAGAAAACTCCCTAATTTCTGGGACCGCTTTTAGAAGGATTATTGCCATTTTAGTCTCAAAGATAGGAATTAGAACACTAAAGAATAAATTTGTTCCCCAATCCCAACTCTGATGTATAGGATAATATTTGTTCTAATGACATATGAAGTTATTGATAATTTATGCCAATGATGGGTGAAAATAAGTATTAAAAAAAAAGAAAAAAGAAAAAAGGTTAACTGCATTCATGTATGCAGGAAGAAAATAGAAGGGGTTTTTAATATTAATATTATTGTTTTGCTTTCAAGAGTTTTTTAAATGATCTCTGCTTATTTATTCACTTAAGCACCTGCCAAAGACATAAGGAACCTTTTCTGAGTTACAGAATTATGCTATAGGCAGACTGTGTGGGATACTAGCTGCACAAGCCCTGTTTCTACAGTAGGGTTCCAGCTTATGTTGCTTTGCCCAGTTATTTTGAAAAGGTGTTTTATCTTACCAGTGGTGTACAGCTGCTTTTGAAATCAAACCTTTCTTGCCAGTCGTGGCTCTGCAGATACTTGAGGATATTTACCCACTTTCTCAATTCTTTCTGAAACCCACATAATTGTCTATGACATACTATTTGTATAAATGTTTGCCTTTTTTAGTAAATTGTGTATCAATGAAAATGAAGGTTTATTGCCCAAATTGACAGAAAGGTACTGTGTGTGTGCTTTTCTCGTCCACAGCTGTTGAAAAAGAAAGGAACATCCTCATTTCTTCAGAGACTGGAACGAGGGGGCCCAACCACTGTGGCAGTACAGCTCAGGGTTAGTGAAAATCTTCTGGACAGAAATTTGCAAAAAAACCCAACCCCAAACTCAAAGCATTTTAAAGGCAAAATTAATCTCTCCAGACTGCAACAGAAGAAAGAAAAATTGTATGCTTGAGAAAGCCACTTGCATGGCCAGGTCAAGCCTTCTGAGAAAATGATGTTAAAAGTTAGGAAGAGCGAATGTGTTGAGTAGTTGCCTTTGCTGCACAATAATGATTGATAACTGATTTTTTTCCCCACAGAAATCACTCACAGATATCATTGGGAAGCTGCAGAACTGCACACCACATTCTGTTCATTGTATAAAGCCTAATAACTCTAAGCTGCCAGATACTTTTGACAATTTTTATGTGTCTGCTCAACTGCAGTATATTGGTGTTCTAGACATGGTCAAAATCATACGACATGGGTATCCAATACGTCTCCCTTTCACAGACTTCTTGTCAAGGTAAATTCTTTAAGTTTCATAAAACCTTTTTCTTACCTACAGTACAAAGCTTTCTGTCATGTTGTGGTAGTGCTTGTGGTACTGTTTTGCCAAGGAGTCTTTCAGACTTTCTTCAGAGAAAAATCATGTCTACCAGGAAGGGGTATAGGCTTGTTATTTTTTAATTGAAAGAATCGTGAATTTGTGAAAATATATTTGTAAAGCTCATCAGCAGAATGTATTTAACTTTAAAAATGTAACTTCATAAAGTAGTTATATTTTTATAATTTATACTATTTATATGATTTATAAAATATAAAATATTACATGTTGTCTCCAGGTCATTAAAAAACAGAAGAAAAAATAGTCTTAATTTTTCAAATTTATCAGTGTATGTGTCATGACTTCAGTATTTGTACTTCATGTGCTAGGATTTGTTTCTGCATGCTGATGAGTTTTAATGCTCATACCACAAATCCATTTTTATTATTGTCATTAGAAATTAATGAAATTTTGAATTAATGTGAAAAGATGAAAGATAAATGTCACTGATTCTGGCTGAGGGCAAAATGTTTTCCCCTATCCCCAATTCAGTTTTGGAATTGTGGCTCACTTACATTCTCAAATGCTTCAGCAAAGAAAGAGTACCATTTTGTCCAGGAGGTGTTTGGTTAGCAGCCTTATGCACTCAACACATGTTCCTCCACTCTGCATGTTCTGGTCCTTGACTGATATATCGATCAGTCATGATCTGGTCTATGTGTTATTTTGCTTCTGAAAAAAAGCATGGGAATATCAGCTGCCTACACACATCTAAACTTTCAGTTGCATTCTTAGAAAAAGTTGTGTATATTAAGTTACTGCTTGGACAGAATCGTATTCTCTCTGGCAATAGTGTAAATACTCAAAAAGTGCAGAAGTATAGTAGTTTGTAATCCCACATGTTTCAAAAGTAAGCCACCTCTGTCCTACCACAGTGTGAATCCAGAAGTGCAGGCTGGTTGAGGAGAAGATAATGGGAGATTTGGAAAATCAGGCTGCTTTCATATTCAGAAGTGGTAGGGTCGCTCTCTATCTAACCATTTCTATCTTACTGAATTGAACACTTCAAGAGACTATTACATGGGCACAAATCCACAATCTTCTACTGTTAAATCCTCCCAGTTCCTGTCAGGGATTTGGTCCTTGCTATTTAGCTTTTCTCACTGCAAAGATAAAGGTTAGGGGTTAGCACAGCCCTGGTGGGCAGTGCAGAGGTAGCTTCTCTGTTTTGTAAGATAAAAGAGGGTAACCATATGTACAAAGGTCATTTTATTCAATTGGCTTCAATGCCAGAGAATGGTAGCATGCATATTCACTCTAACAGTATACACATGAGTCTGGAATGTTTTCTTTTTGGAGAAACTTTTTTTTAAATATCACTAATAGAATGTTTGAAGATTCAAATATAATTTCAATCTTTTTCCTCCACTCCTTCAAGTATGTCCAAAAGACAGATTTTAACCTGAAAGTCTAGAGGATGTCTGGTGTCTCACAGTAAATACTTTTTTGCAGTAGTGATAGTAAAACAAGGTTAGCAACAAAACCCAATAGCAACGTTAAATGTTTTTTAAGAGTTCTAGTTTTGTTGCTGTTGATCTTTATCCCTTTTCCTCCACAATAAATTATCTTTATAGGTTCTTTGCAGCTGAGCCCCTGTCTTTTTACCTGTTTACACCAGGTCCTAATAATTGTATTGTTATACATTAAAAGAATTAAACAGCATTGAGGCTAGGATGCTGTCACTGAAAATGAAGTCCATTTTATAATAAACCCTGTGAATATATGTTGAACCTACTCAGAAGTTATCAATAATCACTCTGCATACATCTCTTGACACTACTAGACTTGTGCAGAGAGGAACACAGAGCTCTTGCCTCGGTAGCACTAAAAGAAACCACCAGTGCTGTAAGGCTTTTTACAGTAGCCATTCCTGTCTCTCAGGCCAAAGCTTATCTTAATTTGAACAGCAGAATATGCCAATTCTTTATTTTATTCACCATGATGAGTTAACCTTCATGTTCACATTCAACGTATTTGGGTAATTATTTTCATTTCTAATAGCGCAAGCATGTGGGTATTTGTTCTCTTATTGGCTGAAAAATATGTTTTTTTAAGCGGAATTCATAGTATCAGATTGCAGTTCAAAAGTACCATCAATTCTTAATGCAGTAATTATTTTTACCCAATAGACTACAGGTAAGAAAGAGTAAAGAATTACTGAATTCAGAAGTTACGAGCTACCTTTTCAAAAAGTCTTCTGAAAAACTGCCACTCCTACTACATATCTATATTGCCTCAGTGACTGGACAGAATGGTTTTGGAAAGTGGATAATTAGTTTTGGCAATGTTCTTATAAACTGAATTTGTTTGTTGGCTGTTCAGCGTAACTCGTCTTTCTCAGATTTCCTGAAGTTGATGGACTTTCTCACCTTTCAATTTTTTATTTCCTTTGGTGTCAAACTGGTATTTCTAGTGTTCTAAAGAGAATCTGTGGCCTGTATCCCAGTTTGAATTCCCAAAAGATGGTGAATTTCTACCCTCTTCCACCCTCCCTGTAGGTTTTTTTTATCATACAGATAATGTGGTCAGAATAAAAAAAAAAAAATTAATGAAAAAATTTATTTTTGTTTTCTTTTTTGCTGGCTGATAAAAAGACAGAGTGTTTGAATTAGGGGCCTTTGTGGTGAAGAGACAGAATATCAGAAAACCTGGATATTCCATCAGTAATACAGACAGTACCATTGCTTTCTTAATTGGATGAATTTGAAGAAATTTCTATTAATATGTAATTAAGTATTAATATGACTGGTCTCTAACAACTATTTGTAAGTCACATTTGGACTCTTATGGTTGCTAAAAATGACAGTAGCTAAAAAAAGGTCATATTTTGCAAAGAGCACTTCTTCCTGGGCTATGAAACTTAATCATTATTTCTTTTGCTGTCCTTTTTGGATTTACTGGTACTGCTTCTGCGTTATCAAAGTAAAAGTTGACAGCTGCTAGGTGAACCCCTCAATCATTAAAGTTCATTGATCAGAAGAGAAATCTTATGGAAATTCTAGTCCTTAAGTGGAAGCTGTGACAATTACTGTCAATGAATATATAATAAAAATGAGAATTAATAAGGTCAGATGCTATTAAATGCTGTAAAAACAGGCAGCACCAATATAATTATGAAATGATATATGTGATTTCAGTGAATTTGCCAACTCCAGCTGCAGTGTTTCTGCTGAATTTGCCTGCAGTGTTGGCTCAATTTCTAAAGCTCTTTGAGTAGAGAGACAGAAATCAGTTTTTACCTTATCTTTAAAATAGAAAGCCTTGAGTAATATGTATTTTATGCTCCTGGAAAGGTTTACCTGTGCATTTTGTCTTACGTCTTCAGAAGCATTCTCCTAATCTCTGAGCTAGATTATGAAATTGTAGCTTTGCTTTTAAGTCAAGGCAGTGGCAGAAACAATTTTGTGAAGAGTTCAAAGTTTTCAATTTGCAGCTGAAATTGTACTCAAAGTATCCTCAAATATCCTTTTCCTGGAAGAAACAAAACAGTAAAATAATCACAGGATTAGGAACTGCCTGCACATGCCTGTTTCCAGCATTTAACATTTTGATATTTTATTTAAAATGAGAAAATTCCACTCAAGATACATAAAAAGCACCTTAGTAGGAACTTAGTAATTTGTTATGTTTTTCATATTCAGTGCAGTGGCAAAAAAGTTAAGTATCAGTGTGTGCTCTTTTACCCGTGTAGAACAATAGGGCTCAGAAATGTACTGAAGCACAAAGAGAGACTGGTTGTACAAGCTTAATATCTAGAACCTAATTTCTTTGTATTAATTAATAAAATAGATCCTGGCTGACTTTCACATCTTTCACCTCACTTGGTGCTCAAGGAAGACATATAAAAACCATTTGGAATATAAATTTGTAAAAATAATGATAGTGATCAAGGACCCATCTAGAGTAATGAGGTGAGCTTATATTTCTTGCTCAATGAAGTACAAGAATACAGCTGTTCAGCCATGTTCAGGTCAAATGAGGCAGTAAGATGCTCTGTTTCACTCATTCTGAACAATTTTATTTTGGTACTATCCTCCTCTACAAACCACATCTCTCCATTAGTGTTTTGTAAATTAGATTAGAGATTAAAATTTTCTTTTCTCTTTCTTCTTTAATGTGTTTCACCAACTCTGCTGCACTGCATGTACCATGCACTTTTCTCTGCCCATGTTTTAGTTTCCTTGGTCAAGGAAGAATTTATGAACTACTGCCTTAGAGATTACGGTTCACGTCTCGTGTATTTCTTGTGTCAGTGACACTGCTTAGCGATGGAGACTGCAAGGTCCAGTTGCACAGGCCCTGAAAGAAGGCATCTCCGAGTTTGTGGCAAACCTTCAGGGCTGTTGAACCTCAGGATAACCCCTGTGGATTATGTGAACTGATAAGCAAATTTATCCTTTCACTTTGCTGATGAGAATTGCAGGACTTTTATGAGGAAAAACATGTTGTTCAGAAAGTCTAAAAAATTGTCTGCTAGTGTGCTATTCCTTCTCTTTATTTCTGCATGTTTTGAGGGTTTCTTGGAATTTCATTTCTCTCTCTCAGGTTTCTAGAATGTCTTTTGCAGGTTTCGCTTTTTCTACTCAGTCTTCCATCGTGGAGCTCCCATTCTTCCTTCTATTGCTGCTCAAGGAACAGCAGAGAAAATTTCATACTGTGAAGGAGAACGTGAAGGCTGTATCTATAAGCATCTCTTACAGTGGTGTTGCAAGAAGAGTCACTAGAGTGTTATGATTCACCATTTCCAATTCCCTTTGAAAACTGCTTAGGTGGCATTAATCTAACCTTTACTTTTACCAATGCATATGCAAACATACAGCTCAGTTTATATGTGTTTATATGTAGCTGTTTGTGCCAACTGCTAAGACAGTTTCAACTGCAGTTGTTCAAGTACAGTATCAGACCACTTTCTTTTTTCC